TGATGGGGAACCCACGGCGCCGCCGCTGCCGTGGCCGCAGGAGCCGGGGAGCTACGGGGCGTGAGCCGCAAAATTAACGCTCTCATTTAGGAGTTCTTTTGCCCACCGGTCACGGTAAAGAAGAAATGAAATCTTGAAGTAGTAATGATAAAGAGGATTAAAGCTGCTCATCTCTCCTTAGAGCAAGCAAGCCAAAACCCGCTTATCGTTGACAGTCACTCTGCCTGCCCACCTAAAAGCACATCTGTAGAGCTTCCTGCCCCAAAGAGGTCTTTTTTCATTTGCAGAGTGCCCCTCACTGAGACATGCAACATTTATTACACCTGATTGAGATTCTCCATTTTAAGATCGCCTGTGGATCTGGTCCAGCACCCAGTTCTTTGCGAAGAAAGATGTCTGTGTTTCTGTGATCTGCCTGGAGCTCAGTGTTACTTGGATGGGGTTCCCATGGTTTTGGAAAGGCTCCTGAGACACATGAAAAGCATCTAGAGGCCATGTTGCAATGGATCAACACAGCAGGCTTGATATCAAATCTTGCCAAGCGTCACTTAAGGCAGGCAAAGCTGTCTCCCTGGGTGCACAACTTTTCCATCGTCACTGAAAACAGATCCAGACTGGGTCTCTGCAGTTACAGATGCTCTGCCACCAGAAGAAATCCTAAACACTCTTTTCTGTCTCCTATACCATGGTTTGCAGAGTTATTCCATAAATATGCTTTGGGCATGGGCCCATTAAAAATGTTACTTGGCAGTTTCTCAGGGATGGATGCTATGCAAATTAAAATCTTTGTTGACTCCAGCTGTAAGTGCTGGTGCCTCACTGAATTTGAAGCTGTGTTTGCTGAAATTTAAGGAGATGATATTGGGAAGGGTTGTGTACTTGCTTCAAGAGTACCAACAAAGCTAAGAGCAAATATTCTACTGGTTATATCAACTTCCTCGTGTTGCCCCTTCTCACACAAGTGTGGCACTTGAAAACTGGGGAGAGAGATGTATCATAGGAGAGGGGCCCTAGGTAGTACAAGATGTCCTAAAAGCCCATGAAGTGTTGTGTCACCAGAGCTCTAAGCACATGGGGTGGTGGTAGGGGAACGGGGATACTCTACGTGTACTGGGGAAACTAAACGTGGCAGCTTAGCCAAGTTCTAGATCCAGGTTGTGCAAATATTGGACAAAGACTTTCTTTCTTTTCTCCTTTCTTTCTTTCTTTCTTTCTTTCTTTCTTTCTTTCTTTCTTTCTTTCTTTCTTTCTTTCTTTCTTTCTTTCTTTCTTTCTTTCTTTCTTTCTTTCTTTCTTTCTCGTCAATTCTTGCACTGTGTTTACCACTGGTATTATCCAAATAATTCAAAGAGAATGATCTAAGAGTGAGCAATAGGTAGGCAGGTCCTTTTAATTAACCTTTTATTTGCTATGTACAGATGTTGCAGTTTGAAGCAACATCCATCTCAGTTTTGGTTCTTAGTCACGGTGTTTTTCTTCCAAAAAAATTGAAAAGATCCTTTATTCTTAGCCAAGTTCTAGATCCAGGTTGTGCAAATATTGGACAAAGACTTTCTTTTCTTTCTTTCTTTCTTTCTTTCTTTCTTTCTTTCTTTCTTTCTTTCTTTCTTTCTTTCCTTTCTTTCTTTCTTTCTCGTCAATTCTTGCACTGTGTTTACCACTGGTATTATCCAAATAATTCAAAGAGAATGATCTAAGAGTGAGCAATAGGTAGGCAGGTCCTTTTAATTAACCTTTTATTTGCTATGTACAGATGTTGCAGTTTGAAGCAACATCCATCTCAGTTTTGGTTCTTAGTCACGGTGTTTTTCTTCCAAAAAAATTGAAAAGATCCTTTATTTTTGCACTGTGGCAGATAGTGAGGATGACTGCATTGGGAGGGTGTTTGATAAAAGAAAGTGTCTGGATTGTTGGAATTTGGATTATATTATAACAAATAGTCTTTGTTCACAGTCCAGTTTTTGCAGCTGAACTCTTATTTAATAGGAAAAAAAAACCCAACCAAAAAACTAATACACTAGTCAGGTTCAAATGCGGTTGACAATTCACTTGACTAATTGTCAGTTTTTCTTAAATTAATTTATTCAGACACATTGTTTTTCCTTTTATTCTGTGCTGAATACTCTGTAGGAGGAAGGGGTCAGAGATAAAAAGGAAAAGAAAAAAGAACTGAGACAAGAACTTGGAATCACATACTCATTTGAAAAATACAAAGATGTGTGACCAGGAGAGCAGTGAATCAGAGGCATAAACTCATTTTTTCTTTGCTTTTGCAGAGTATGAAACACTTATAATGCTTGGAAGTTTAAACCATAATTACAGTAGTAGGAGGGGTTGCTGTCAACTGGTGAGACTTCTTTGCATATAGTGGAGGGAAACTGATTTATTCTAGTGAGGAATCTGGCCTGATAGACCTAAAAAGAACATAATTAACAGATGCTAACAAGCTAATTATATGGAGTGATGAAGACATTTTGACTAGAGCTTCAACTATTAGATGCAGGCTATTTTCTAGCTTTATTTTTTAAAATTGTAAATGTTAAGCTCAGATTTAAGATGTTATTATCCCAAAATGTAAATCAGGTGTTTCCAGAAGCCCATGAAAGTCAAGAGAAGACTTTCTGTGGAGTCCGGGGTGCTTTAGATTGGTTCCCAAGGCCTGTCTGATCTCACCCGCCCAGGTGTTACACTGGCCTGACCTCATTTACTTTAGTAGAGCTGCCCTTTCATTTTATGCAGGAGCAAATCTGTGAGGGGAATCAGGCTGCACAGTCTGAAAAGCACCAGTTTGGGTTGCCAGACAGGGTGCTGTGGCCCCCTACCAGATCAAAGACCTTGCCAATGACCACAGAACAGCAAAAAGGGCTTTAGATGTCTGTACATGACTGGAAAAACTAACACAAGCACTTTCAGAGGTTGTACAGATGCAGAGAATAACATCTGGGGTGTGCACGTGGACCTTGCCTCAGCTCTGAGAACCTCATTCAACATATGTATTAAAGGCCTTCAAATCCCAAACTTTGTTCCTATTGCATGTATAGGATCAACTCAGTCACATCCTGCGGTGGTACTGCACAGCAACTCCGCCCTTTTGGGTGGTTTAGCTATTATTCAATGGTTGCCTGCTTTTTCTCTGTTTACCAGGTCACGAAAACCTCAATAAAATCACATCATTTGGGTGGGAGGGTGAAGTGTGGGGAGATATGTGGCAGGATGGATTTTCCTCTAAAGCTAAAATGTGCTGGGCTTCATTTTTTTTTTCTTTTTTTTCTGCTGTACTGGAAGAAAAATTCCTCTTTTTATTGGAGAGATTTTCTGCTTGCACAATGTTTCCAGGAAACCCATACAGGCCCATGCCAATGTTTATTACTTGTAGAAGAAATAGAATGAGCAAATGAAGATTTTAAAAAGGGGCGTAAAGCCAAAATCGATGCAAGGAGTTAGACTATTTAATGGTCTCTCCCCACAACGCCTAGAATAGTTTATCAGCTAATCCTCCCTGTCTCCAGTGCATCAGGAGCGTATACTGTAGGGATGTCTGGAGTCCTCAGTGATTTCTGTTATGCCATGAGTTTGCCTTGTCCTTGGGAGACTGAAGGAGGGTGGAAGATCCTGATCTTGAAGTGCAGGCTGGTATCTGTAGGTTCTGGAGCTCCAGAAGTGGGGATTATGGGGAGAGAGGATGCCAATGTCCCAGGGGGTGGGTGTCTCCGTGAGTGGGCGCCATCAGGGTTTCTGGAGGAGGTACTGAGAGGAGAGGACAGCTGTGACTGTAGGTGTCTTTGCATGTCTTCAGGTAGACAATGACCGGAGGGATCTGGATATGAACAGCAAAGATGTTGATGCTGAGAAGATGACTCGTTTCATTCGGATGAATGAGCTCCGCCTGGTGACAGAGTACAACCCTGTGGTAAATACCAGCTCCCCACAGCCCTCACTCTGGCACTTGGCCTCCTCCTCATGGATGTCCTCTGGCCCAAGAGTTTGCACACCCAGCTGTGTGCAAGGGTTGTGGCAACGGTGTGGATGGGGTTGGGGAAGACACACAGGTCTTTGCTGCTACTCCATATAGGGACTGGAAGCAGATGCTGTGCTGGGGTGTGTGAGTATGGTGGGGAGAGGAAGGGGGGGCTTGGCAGTTCCTTTAGCCTTCCAGTAAATTTGGAATGTTGGTGGGTAAAGAGCTCCATTTCTTACCACTCTTGACAGCAGTGCCACTTCCTCCTGTGGACATTTGCTGTGTCGTACCATGCCTGCAGACCCTGCTCAGCCATGATCCCCTCTCTTTGGCTGAGAAGCCTTGAGAAACATGGAAACTTGAATGACTTACTCCCAAAAGGCAAGCTCTTCTTCATTATCCAGCACATAGGGTTTGACATAAGCCTGGCTGTTTGAAGGCATATTCAAGAGCCAGTTGGAAACTTCCCAACCAAATTTTTCCCATCCCTTCTATCCCTTACTCCAGAATTCATCAGCTCAAGAAAAAAATTAATATATAGGATGCTTCCATGTTGGCCATCTTCATTAACTCACCCAGCTGACTGGCAGTCACTTGTTCCCAGTGCTCCTCTCCCTTATAGAGGGTGACTATGGATTTAGGATCTCCTGAAATTTCAGCAGTTCACTGGGCTTGTTGCTGTGGAGCCAATGGGTCTTTGAAGCCCTAGTGGCCACAAGGCTGAGACTTTGTCATTGCCAATGGGCTCTTCTGTGGACTTCTGAATAGTTACAGCAGTGCTGACGAGGCTCAATTTAATCAAAGGAGAATGGTCCAACCTGTTTCAAAGCTATTCCTTCTCAAACCAATGCCAAGGATCAGCTAAGAGGGCTGACATATTTACCAGCTCAAGTGCAGCCTGTCAGTAGAGAGAGCATTTTGTTTTGAAGCGCAACATTTTGTTTCCAGAGTGAAATACTGTAGAAGTTCTGTGATGTTGGTTTTTTTTTAAAGAAAAAAAAAATTTGGTTTGTTTTTTTTATCTTGATAAGGGATGTGAAAAAAACATTTCAAAATCACAGAATATTTCTGGGGACAGAAAATCTATATCCTGCCCCTCTGTCCTTACAGCCCTTTGAGAGCACCCAAGTCACATCAGCGGGTATATTCTTTTTATCTTTATAAACACCCAGGCCTTCTGAACCCTTGGAGCCTCTACTGCATCTTTTGGCAATTCATTAGATTGTGGCTCTTTCTTCATGTGTTTCTGCTGATGCTTTGGGCTCTTGCTCCATAGCGTCCTGTTCGGCAGCCAGGCTGTCTCCCTGACCGAGAAGTCCTGAGCTGTTCAGCTGATCCCCTCCACCCTGACTGGCAGTAGAAATGTTGTTCCAATTTTTTTTCCAGACACTCTGGAGTCCTATCAAGGTGCTGCAATTAACAGTGCCTCCTGCAGTCCTCAGCCCAAAGCCCTCCCAGCTCCACTAAGGTAGCTTGTTTTTTTGTAAATATTTATTACCAGTGCATATGCTGTTTACATCTAAGAATGCTGCTGGTCAGCAGAGGCTGGGGTCACGCGGATCACACTGAGTGCTGCCAAAAGTTTCTCTCCCCATCCTGGGGCCCTTACTGTTTCTCCCACATCCTTCAGGCATTGTTAGGCAATGCTTACCCTGTGGGCTTTCCAGAAGAGTCAGATGTGACCTGGCCATGTTGATGAGCTCTGCTGATCGCTCTTGCACAAGGTTTGCGTGGACAGGCACATCTTTGTGTGGAGCCGCAGGAGGAACTGCTGCTCCAGCCTTGCGCATTCTCAGCTCAGCCTTGTTGTGGCCCTTGGTGCTGGCTGGCTTCACCTTCACCTTCAGCCTTGTCCTCTCCCATGAGGTCTTCTAATGCTCTCCAGCCTTGGTTTGCATCCCCTCTACTCTACCCTTCCCCATCTGCACACCACCAGAGAAGTGAAAGGGTAGAAAATGGCTGATAAATATTACGCTAACAGCAGAGTCCTGGCTGCCAAAAACTAGATGCTTTGCAGTGCACAGCCCTTGCCAGCATGAACTCCCTGACCCCTTCCTTATTATTCCTGGAGCGTGTGGAAACTTTCTTCTCCCTCTGGCAGGGAGCTGCCCAGTCTGCACCTCCGTGGTTTCAGTGGCATGGGGGGGAGGCAGCAGGTCTGGCCCGGCTGCTGTTTAGTTTGAAGGAGAGGCTGCAGGGCTGCGGGAAGTGGGCAGGAGGAGAAGTGAGATGACGAGTGAATGAGTGAGTTGAGTGAGTGCCTGGAGATGGTCCTTTCCTCACAGAGGGCCAGTGTGTGCTGCCCGCTTGGCCCTTGCCCAGGGGACAAGGGACAGCTGGCTCCAGGTCTTCTCCCACTGTGGGACTGCAGAGGCAATTTTAACCCTCAGCACTCTGCAATGCCCAGGCCCTGGGGTTGCTGAAACTCTGAACTCATCCCCATCCTGCACACAGCATAACGCTAAAGAAAGGAAGTAGGGGGAGGCATCAACCGACACCACAAATCCTTCCCACATTTTTGCTCCCATTTCAGCCAGATGCTGGACCTCTGTGATTCAGGGCCCCCTTACATTCAGTGTTTGCTGGCCTTCCCTCTCCACTTCTTTGCCCCTCTAGACTTCAGCTTTCTGTATCCAGGCAGCCCCCCTGCCTAGTTGCTGACTATCCTGAGGCCAGTGATGAACCCTTGTGGTCTTCAGACTCTTGTCTCCAGAATAAGCAAAGCCAGGATGTTAAGTGCTTCCACAAAGAACCCAGATTGGATCCCTCCTGCTTTAAAGGAAGCTTGTGAGGTTGATTTGCAAAGAAATCCCAACTGAGATGTGAGAATTGATGTCCCTCTGGCAGCGCATCCAATGCAGATTGAATGTTCTCAATCTCCTTTTCTGTGTGTGTTTCTGTCTGTGGTGGTTGTGTTTTCGGCAGACAGCAATAGGTGTGATGCAGAGTTCGCTCCAGCTTCACCTCCTCCTGATCACAGACAAGATGTCTCCAAAGTACCCCGAGCGAATGCGCAGATATCGGGCGGCAGCGGAGCTCTTCAAGGGGAAGGTAAGTCCAAACAGAAAGGAAGAGGAGCCATTAGGGAGAAAAAAAGGAGAACAGTGGTTTCTTCTGTGGATGGGGAGGGTGTTATCTCCTTCTGTGTGCATTAGGGAGCAAAGGCCAAGTGGCAAGAAAAGAGGATTAGCTGGATAGTTAAGCGGAGGGGTTGGATCTGTTCACCTTTAGCCACTTTGCCTCCTTGCGGGGAAAATATCCTCTATATCCCACTCCTCTGCTCTCTCAGTGGGACATTATGTACTTCCTTGCTTCTGGTCCAGTTTTGTTTGCTCGCACTGGGAGATGACAAACAGCTGCTGCACTTCAGTCTGGCGATGGTTGCATTCCACTGGTGTGAGAGGTGATTTTGTATATACAGCCTGCAAGATGCCAAGGAGCATTATATAAGTGACCGGACAGCAATTAATATCGTGGTGCTTCTTAACCCTTAGCCTTCTGGTTGGATCCTGAGGAAATGGTTGTTTTAATGGAGTTGCAGATGGGTTTGTTGGATTTCCCACACAAAGGTGATGGGATAGATGGGATATTTCAGAGAAATTTCGCCTGGTTCCCACCCCTCTGTGGGCAAAGCTTCCCAAGTAGTAAATCATCCCATGGCTGATTCTCTGCCAGCAGCTGGATTACAGGGGAATTTATGTCTGGAGAACAGAGGAAGGAACTGGCAAGCAAAGGAGGATTGAAAGCAACAGGAAGGCATTTGGGGCAAGGGAGAACAGCAGATGGGGGGGGGGGGG